AAAAAAAAAAAAAAAAAAATCCATTTGAATAAATTTTTTAATGTTAAATACTGCGCATTCCTCAATTTGTTTATATTATTATTTTGAGTGATGTGAGATAAGTCAAATGCTAAGCTCAGTACCTGGTGCAAAATTAAGCATTATATACATGTTATTGACTAGATTGGCATACTCTTTTTCAGAGGTAATATGCAAATAAGTAAACTATATCCAGTTTATCTTAATTGCAGATTGATGTGACTATACTTTGATAGTTACTTAAAAGTGCTTCTTATAATCACTCATTTATACCCAAGTGCCCTGTTGATGTTAAGGGACATAGCAAGGAGTGTTGTGTTACATTTTTCAGTATGAAGTTAGTGCAGTATTTTGCTGATATTAACAGATGTCTCTGCTACTCAGTGCTTGATCCTAAATATACTTACTCCGATAGGCATTTATTCACAAACTGATCCAGTCCACTGATGGAGAAATTTGGAATTTTTAGGCTAGGTCCTCCTTTTATAGTTGAATTTACTTAGGAAAAAGTTTGCTTAATGAATGGTCTTTTTTTGTGTGTGTGTATTTTTTTTTAAATGAAGTTTTGCTCTTGTTGCCTAGGCTGGAGTGCAATGGCGTGCTCTCAGCTTACCACAACCTCCGCCTCCTGAGTTCAAGCAATTCTCCTTCCTAGCCTTCCGAATAGCTGGGATTACAGGCATGCACCACCACGCCTGGCTGGTTTTTGCATTTTTAGTAGAGACAGGGTTTCTCCATGTTGGTCAGGTTGGTCTCGAACTCCCGACCTCAGGTGATCTGCCCACCTCAGCCTCCAAAAGTGCTAGCATTACTAGGTGTGAGCCACCATTCCTTGCTGGTAACATGTTAATTATTCAATTTTAAATGTCCAGTGTTAAAGGTGTTCTTAGATAACCTTATTCAGGTTGCATGATGAAAGAGAGTTCTTTTGAGTGTGTATAAACCAGGATTTTTGTCCTGGGTCTAGCACTTACTAATTAGATGAGTAACTTAAATCTCTTTCAACCTCAATTTTTTTTTTTTTTTTTT